AAAAAAAAAAAAAAAAAGAGAAACTTTATTTCGACTGCTCATTTGCATATCATTTACATATAATTTGCATGTCGTTTGCATATCATTTGAATATCTTTTGCATATAATTTGCATCTTTTATATGTTAATTCGGTGCCCCATTCCCAATCTCCGGAAAACGGGATCCAAACATTCCAAGGATGGGAAAAATCCGATGGAATCCTCGGAATTCCGTCGATTTCTCGCTCCGGAAAACGCGGAACCGCCGGAAAAGAAATTCCCGGGAAAAGAATTCCCGGTTTTTTTTGTTTTTTGGGGTTTTTTTTTTGTGGGAATTCGGGGAAATTCCTGGGGTTTTTTTTTTGCAGCTTCTCGAGCCAAGTTTTGGGCGGGAACGGAAGGATTTTGAAACGGGGAATTCCAAAAAAAAAATAAATGCAAATTCCAAGGGATATCCGGGATATTTTGGGAAATCCGGGAATTTTGTAGGATTTTTTGGGAATTCCAGCTGGTTTTTCCCGGCTCTGCAATCCGGGATTTTTTTTTTGAGGGGAAAGGATTTTGAAGGAATTTCATCCCAAATAATTTCCGGCGGATATCCGGGAATTTTTGGTGGGAATTTTTGGTGGGAATTTTTGGTGGGAATTTTTGGTGGGAATTTTTGGGAAAATCCAGGGGGGTTTTGGGGTTTTTTTTTCCGGCTCCGTGATCCCAGATTTTGGGTGGAAAGGGAAGGATTTGAAGGGAAAATCCGGGAGTTGGGAATGACGGAGCTTCCCGGGATTCGGGAAAGGCCAAAATTGGGTGGGAAATTCCCCCAAAAAATTCCGGATGGAACTCAGGATGAGTTTGGGCTCCGGGAATTCTGGGAATTCTGGGAATTCTGGGAATTCTGGGAATTCTGAGCCCTGGGGGTTTGGGAGCAGAATCCCGGGATTTGGGAGCTGCGGGACGCGGAAAATCCCGGGATGAGGAGGAGGAGGGGGGAGAAAAAAGCGGGAAAATCCCAGGATTTGGTGGATTTAGGGAATTCCGCGTTGGAAAGCAGCAGGAGAATTTCCCGGGAATTTTCCAGGAATGGGATCAAGGGCAGGGAGGGGCAGAGCTCCCGGAATTCCAGGGATGGGAGGAGAATTCCCAAACCCAAATCCATGGGAAAGACGAGGATCCCAAATAAATCCCGGGATGAGGATCCCAAACCCAGGGATGGGATGAGAATTCCAAGCCCGAATTCCGGGATGAGATTCCAGGAATCCCAAATAAATCCCGGGATGGGATCGGGATGGAATCCGGGGATCCCAAATAATCCCAGGGATGGGAGGAGGGAAATGTGGGAATCCCAAATCCCGGGATGGGATGAGAATTCCAATCCCAAATCCAGGGTTGAGACTCCAGGAATTCCAAATCAATCCCGGGATGAGGATCCCAAATCCCGGGATGAGAATTCCAATCCCAAACCCAAATATTGGGAATTTGGGACGGGATCGGGACGGAATCCGGGGATCCCATCCAGGGATGAGACTCCAGGAATCCCAAATAAATCCATGGATGGGATGAGAATTCCAATCCCAGATCCAGGGATGAGAATTCCAAGCCCAAATCCATGGGAAAGATGAGGATCCCAAAAAATCCCAGGGATGGGAATTCCAAACCCAAACCCATGGAAGGGATGAGAATTCCAACCCCAAATCCTGGGATGAGACTCCAGGAATCCCAAATAAATCCCGGGATGAGGATCCCAAATCCAGGGATGAGAATCCCAAATAATCCCAGGGATGGGAATCCCAAATCCCGGGATGGAATTCCAATCCCAAATCCAGGGATGAGAATTCCAACCCCAAATCCCGGGATGAGAATTCCAACCCCAAATCCCGGGATGGAATTCCAATCCCAAATCCCGGGATGGAATTCCAATCCCAAATCCAGAGATGAGAATTCCAACCCCAAATCCAGGGATGAGAATTCCAATCCCAAATCCCTGGATGAGAATTCCAACCCCAAATCCCGGGATGGAATTCCGAAGGCGGGACCGGGCTCCCAACCCCCTCCCCCTCCCACCAATCCCAACTTTTCCCCCTCTGGAATTCCCCATCCTGGTTTTTCCCGGGATAAATTCCCGAGGTTCCCATCCCCCCTCCCCATTTTTCCCAAGGGGAAGAAAATCGGGAATCTCCAGCAGGAAGTGCCAACTCTTTTTTTAATGGAAACAACATTCCCGAGCCTCCGGAATCCCGGGATCCGCCCTCCTCTCTGGGAATCCCGGAATTCCTTCCGGACATTCCTCAAATCCGGCTCCTCCCGGAGTTTTCCAAGCTTGGAAAAATCCCACCAAAAAAAAAAAAACCAAACGAAACAAAAACCCCCCAAAAAATCCCGGGAATTCCGCTCCCCCTCCCCCCTCCCCCCTCCCCCCCCCAGCATTCCAGGAATTCCGAAGTCGCTTCCATAAAAAAAACAAAAAAATTCCAAACAAAACAAAACAAAACAAAAAAAATCGGGAAAAAAAAACGGAGGCAGAGCCAAAGTTCTGGATTGAATTCCAGTCCCAAATTCCGGGAATTCCGACGGGAGCCTCTTCCCCGAGGTTCTGCTTCCGATGCCGGCGGAATTTTGGCCGTTCCCAGGCCGGAATTCCGAGGACGGATCCGGGATTTTGTGGGAAAAGGGGAGGCCGAAGAGTCAGAGCCGGGAATTTTGGGGGTTTTTTTTTTTTTTTTTTTGGGAATCTCCTGGAAAAATCCCAACGGATTTCACGGCAAAGGGAAGGAAAACGGCTCCGAATTCCGGGATTTCCGCGGGAATCGGCTCCTCCTGGAAAAGCAGCTGGAATTTTGGGATGATCCCGTCCTTTTCCGGCTTTTCCCGAGGTTTTCCGTGAATCCCGAGCCTCTGGATGGTCCCGGAAAGGCGGCTGGGAATTGTCTCAATCCCAAGGATTTCGGGAGCGTTGGATCGGGCTCCGCCGTTCCCGGAATTCCGTCCTGGATTTTTCCATCTCGGATCCCAAATTCCGTCGTGGATTCCCGGAATTCCACCCGGGATTCCCGGAATTCCATCCGGGATTCTCCCAGATCCGAGGCCGGAGCCGCCCCCAGTCCTCTCCCGGCTCCGTCCCTTGGGAATTCCGAGCGATCCCTCGGATCCCGGGAAAAACTCGGGATTTAAGGATTGACGATTCCGGCTTTTCCAGAGGGTGGGATAAAAAAAAAAAATCCACGGATTCGGCCCCTCCCCCCCCCCCCCCCCCCCCCCCCCAAAAAAAATCCCGGGATTGAAATTCCCAGGAATTGGCTCCAGCCATGATCGGAAAAGGTCGGGAATTTTCTGGAGAAACGGGAAAAACGGGAAAGGCCTCGGTCGTGGTTTGGGAATATCCAAAGGATTCCTGGGAATTCCTCAAGTGAAGGGGAAAAAAAAAAATCCTGGAATTTTACAGGGAAGGGATCTGGGGAATCCCGGGAAAAAGGGAATTTTGGGAAGGGAGGAGATCCCAGAAAAAAGGGGAATTTTGGGGAATGAGGAATTCTGGGATTGAGCAGGAAAAAAATCCCAGGAATCCTCCCCCCCCAGAAAAAGTGGAATTTTTGGGAATGAGTTCTCCTGGGAGATCTCAGGAGTGAATCCCGGGAAAAATGGGAATTCTGGGAATGAGGGATTCCGGGCTAGCGCAGGGAATAAAACCTGGGAATTCCAGGAAAAACAGGAAATTTGGGAATAAGGAATTGCGGGATCTCGCGGGGGATAAAACCCGGGAACTCCGGGATCTCACAGGGAATTTTGGGAATAAGGAACTCCAGGATCTCACAGGGAATAAAACCCAGGAATCCCGGGAAAACCGGGAATTTTGGGAATCAGCTTCTCCCTCTCCGCCAAAACCCCGCTCCACCAACGCGACCCCAAAAAACCGGGAAAGAGGCGAATCCCAAATAAATAGGGCGGATCCCGGGAATTCCCAGCGGGGTGGGGGAGGGGGTGAAAAAAGCGGGAAGAGCCTGGGGAATTCCGGGAATTCCGGGAGTTTTAAGTGTCCTCGGTCATGTCCTGGCTCCCGGTCCGGGCGATTTTCCGGGGCGGGGCCGAGTTCTCCCCCTCCAGCTCCCCCTGCTCCTGGTCCCGCTTCTTGGCCGCATTCTGGGGAGAGCCGGGAAATTCCACAGGGACGGCCCGGAATTCCCGGAATTCCCAGTGTTCCCCAATCCCAGAAATCCCACAGGGACGGCCCGGCGATCCCGGAACTCCCAGCGTTCCCGGAATTCCCAGCGTTCCCGAAATTCCCGGTGTTCCCAAATCCCAGCCTTCCCAAATCCCGGAAATTCCACAGGGACGGCCTGGAATCCAATCCCGGAAATTCCACAGGGACGGCCCGGCGATCCCGGAATTCCCGGTGTTCCCGGAATTCCCGGTGTTCCCAAATCCCGGAAATTCCACAGGGACGGCCTGGAATTCCCAAATCCCAGCGTTCCCAGAATTCCCAGCGTTCCCAAATCCCGGCGTTCCCGGAATTCCCAGTGTTCCCAAATCCCAGCATCCCCTAATCCCAGCATTCCAGGAATTCCCAGTGTTCCCAAATCCCAGCGTTGCAAGAATTCTCAATGTTCCCCAATCCCAGCATTCCCAAATCCCAGTATTCGCAGAATTCCCAGTGTTCCCAAATCCCACCATTCCCAAATCCCCCCCTCCCAAATCCCATCATTCCCAATCCCAGAATTCCCAATCCCAGCATTCCCAATCCCAGAATTCCCAATCCCAGAATTCCCAAATCCCAGCATTCCCGATCCCATCATTCCCAACCCCAGAATTCCCAATCCCATCATTCCCAATCCCATCATTCCCAACCCCAGCATTCCCAACCCCAGCATTCCCAATCCCAGCATTCCCAATCCCATCATTCCCAATCCCATCATTCCCAAATCCCAGCATTCCCGATCCCATCATTCCCAACCCCAGCATTCCCAAATTCCCGAGCGAATCCCCCCCGCTCCCACCTCCCCCCCTTTTCCCGAGGCAGAGCCAATCCCGGGATTTCCCCAGCCCGGAATTCCCACCTCGACCATTCCAACAAATCCCAAATTCCCGGGAAAAAAGGAAGGGAAAAAAGCGGGAATTGCGCTCCCGGGTTTCACCTTTTTGTCCCACTGCTGGTGGAGGTAGCGCAGGAGGATGTTCGTCTTCTCTGTCACGATAACTGCCGGAATTCCCGGGAAAAACACGGAAAGAATTCCAGGTTTTCGGGGGATTCCAGTGGTTAAAGGGGGAGGGAAAAATCGGGAATCGTTGGGGAGAAAGAAAGGGAAAAATGGGAATAAATCGAGGGGGGATTGGGGGTGAATTGAGGGGAAACTGGGAATAAATCCAGGGAAAATTGGGAATAAATCCAGGGAAAACTGGGAATAAATCCAGGGAAAACTGGGAATAAATCCAGGGAAAAGTTGGGATAAACAAGGGGAATGTTGGGAATAAATAGAGAGGAAAATGGGAATAAATCAAGAGATTACTGGGAATAAATCAAGGGATTATTGGGAATAAATCCAGGGAAAATTGGGAATAAATCCAGGGAAAATTGGGAATAAATCCAGGGAAAATTGGGAATAAATCCAGGGAAAATTGGGAATAAATCCAGGGAAAAGTTGGGATAAACAAGGGGAATGTTGGGAATAAATAGAGAGGAAAATGGGAATAAATCAAGAGATTACTGGGAATAAATCAAGGGATTATTGGGAATAAATCAAGGGAAAACTGGGAATAAATCCAGGGAAAATTGGGAATAAATCCAGGGAAAATTGGGAATAAATCAAGGGGAAAGTTGGGATAAACAAGGGGAATGTTGGGAATAAATAAAGAGGAAAATGGGAATAAATCAAGGGAAAATTAGGAATAAATCAAGAGAAAACTGGGAATAAATCAAGGCATTATTGAGAATAAATCAAGGGAAAATTGGGAATAAATCAAGGGAAAATTGGGAATAAATCCAGGGAAAATTGGGAATAAATCAAGGGGAAAGTTGGGATAAACAAGGGGAATGTTGGGAATAAATAGAGAGGAAAATGGGAATAAATCAAGAGATTACTGGGAATAAAGCAAGGGGTTATTGGGAATAAATCAAGGGAAAACTGGGAATAAATCCAGGGAAAATTGGGAATAAATCCAGGGAAAATTGGGAATAAATCAAGGGGAAAATTGGGATAAACAAGAGAAATATTGGTAATAAATAAAGAGAAAAATTTGGAATAAATAAAGGGAAAATTGGGAATAAATCCAGGGGAAATTGGGAATTAACAAAGGAAAAATCTGGGATAAATGAGGAGAGAATTGGGAATAAAGAAAGGGAAAAGTCGGGAATAAGGTAAGAAAAAAATTGGGAACGAAAAAGGGGAAATTTGGGATAATTAAGGGGAATATTTGGGATAAAGGAGGGGAAAACTGGGAATAAATCAAGGGAAAAATTGGGAATAAATGAGGAGAAAGTGAAGAAATAAAAGGAAAATTGGGAATAAAGAAGGGAAAAATTGGGAATTAAAAGGGGAAAATTGGGAATAAAGCGAGGGAAATTGGGATTTTGTGCTTTTCCCAACCGAATCCGGAGAAAGTTCCGGAAAAACCCGGGATTTTCCCGGCAAACTCACTCTGTTCCGAGGGGAATTCTCTGGTGGGCAAATACACCGAGGGGCGGCGGTTCTGGAATGGGAATTCCAAGAGATCCGTCAGCAACGGGAACGCCGGGATTGGGAATGCTGGGAGTGTTGGGATTTGGGAATGTTGGGAATGTTGGGATTGGGGAATGTTGGGAATGTTGGGATTGGGGAATGTTGGGAATGTTGGGATTGGGGAATGTTGGGATTTGGGAATGCTGGGAGTGTTGGGATTTGGGAATGTTGGGAATGTTGGGATTGGGGAATGTTGGGAATGCTGGGATTGGGGAATGTTGGGAATGTTGGGATTGGGGAATGTTGGGATTTGGGAATGCTGGGAGTGTTGGGATTTGGGAATGTTGGGAATGTTGGGATTGGGGAATGTTGGGAATGCTGGGATTGGGGAATGTTGGGAATGGGGAATGCTGGGAATGTTGGGATTGGGGAATGTTGGGATTTGGGAATGCTGGGGGTGTTGGGATACTGGGAAAGCCAAGGTTTGGAATGTTGGGATCCAGGAATGCCAGGACTGCGAACGCCAGGATTTGGGATGAGGAATGCTGGGATTCAGGAATGTTGGGATGGGGGAATTCTGGGAATGCCAGGATTGGGGAATGTCGGGACTCAGGAACCCCAGGATTCAGGAATGCCAAGATCTGGGAATTCTGGGATTGGGGAATTCCGGGATCGGGGAATTCCGGGATCAGGAGCACTCACGGAAGCCTTGCAGACGGAATCCGCATGGAATCTGCTGAAGTTGCTCTTGTTGTACACCGGGAGCCCCTTCAGGAAATCTGCCTGGAGAGGCAGAATTCCCAAAAAAACCCTCAGGGAAGGAGCAGGGATAGGCCAGGGAATGCCGGCAGATCCCAGGGATTTGTGTCCATCCAAGCGACCCCCACATCCGGCCCCAAATTCTCATGGATTGAGAGGAAAATTCCTGGGATTTGGGCAGCTCAAAGTTTTCCTTTCCCGGATAAAATTCCCAGGCTGATCCCAGGGCTGAAATTCCCAACCCCTGGGAGACCCGGGAATGGTCCTAATCCAAACCCATGGAACAATTCCCATCCCAAAATTCCCAAGGGATCATCCCAGACGGGTTCAGATCCCTCCATTCCCATCCCAAAATCCCCAAGGGATCATCCCAGACGGGTTCAGATCCCTCCATTCCCATCCCAAAATCCCCAAGGGATCATCCCCTGGATGGGGAGGCTCCAATTCCTTCATTCCCAAAAAAACCTGAGGGTGGAGGAGCTGCCCAACCCCTCCCCCTCCCCCAAAACCGAGGGTGGGGAAGCCCCCAAATCCCACAGGGATCCCAAAATATTCCAAAGCCCCCCAAATATTCCAAGGGGGAACACCCAGTACCCCTAAACCCCCCCCAAAACAAATGGTTCGGTCCAACTTTAGGGTGACCCCTAAACCCCCCCCCCAAAAAAAAAATGGTTTGGTCCCATTTTAGGGTGCCCCCCACCCATATTGGGGTTCTCCAGCCCCACCCTGACCCCGCGGGACCCCCGGAACCCCCAAATCCTCCAACCCACTCACCCCAAACCCCTCCCTGCGTTTCCCCCTCACCCCAAATCCCCCAAACCCCTCCCTGCGCCTCCCCCTCACCCCAAATCCC